TTTCCTCCGGGTGCTCCAGTTTCCTCCCACAGTCCAAAGATGTGCAGGCTAGGTGGTTTAGCCATGTTAAATTGCCTGTAGTGTTCAGGGATGTGTAGGTTATAGGGGAATGAGTTCTGGGTGGGATACCCTGAGCGTCGGTATGGACTTGATAGCCCAAAGGGCCTGTTTCCACACTGTAGGAATCAAATCTGGAGGAAGTTCTCAGTGCTGGGTCCCTTATTGTTTGTGATGTATATAACATGTAGATGAGAAGTAGAAATGCTGATAAGTAAATTTGCAGATGACATAAAGATTAGTCGGGTGGTTGACAGTTAGGAGGAGGGTATTAGGTTACAGGAGGATATAGACAGATTGATCAGATGGACAGATCAGTGACAGTAAAGGGAGGCAATGGCTTAGTGGTATTATCGGTGGACTGTTAATTCAGAGATCCAGATAATGTTCTGGGGACGCAGCAGATGGTGGAATTTGAATTCAATAAATATCTGGAATTAAGAATCTAACAATAACTGTGATTCCATTGTTGATTGTCAGGAAAAACCATAGGTTCACTAATGTCCTTTAGAGAAGGAAACTGCCGTCCTTACCTGGTCTGGCCTACATATGACTCTAGACCCACAGCAATGTGGTTGACTCTTAACTGCCCTCAGGGCAATTAGGGATGGGCAACAAATGCTGGCCTAGCCAGTGATGCCCTTATCCCATGAATGAATAAAGGATGAATAAAGGAGATGGAATTTAAATGTGAGGGAAGGGACAAGACAAGGGCGTTCTCAATGAAGAATAGGACACTCAGAGGAACAGAGGGATCTCGTCCACAAATCCTTGAAGGTAACAAGACTAAGTAATAGGGTAGTTAAAGAGGCATATTGGATACTTGCCTTTATCAGTTGAAATACAGATTATAAGAGCAGGCTTTACAGAACTTTGGTCAGGTCACAGCTGGAGTACTGTGTGCAGTTCTGGTAGCCACACTATGGAAAGGATATGATTGTGCTGGAGGGGGTGCAAAGGAGACTCACAAGGATGTTGCCTGGGATGGAGCATTTCAGCTATGGAGAGAGGCTGGATAAACTTAGGTTGTTTTATTTGGAGTAGAGAAGGTTTGGGTGGGGGTGGGGGTGAATAAAGACATTGAGGTTGTCGTCAAGAATAAAAGAAAATCATGTTAGATGTAAACAACTGGCTCAAACGAATATCTTGAACAGTATAAAGAGTGTAGGGGCACTCTTAAGAGGGACATCAGGAAGGCAAAGAGACGATATGAGATAGGCTTTGGCAAATAAGGTTATGAATAATCCAAAGAGATTTGACAAGTACATTAAGAGCAACAGAACAACTAGAGAGTAGGGCCCCTTAAAGATCAATGAGGTCATCTTTGAGTTGAACCACAGGAGATAAGGAGCGATATTAAATGAATGTTTGGCATCAGTTTTTACTGTGGAGAAATAAATGGAGGCTAGAGAACTTAGGGAAATAAATATTGATGTCTTAAAAACAGTTCACATGACAGAGAGGAAGTGCTGGAATCTTGGAAAATATAAAATCTCGAGGACCTCACCTAGTATATCCCAAGACTTTGTGGGAGGTTAGGGAGGAATTTGCGGGGTCCCTTGCAGAAACATTTGTATCATCAATAAATACAGGTGACGTGCCAAATGACTGGAGGGTGGTTAATGTTGTACCTTTGTTTAGGAAGGGATGTAAGGAGAAGCCTGGGAATTATAGAGCTGAGAGTCTGACTTTGGTGGTGGGTACGTTGTTGGAAGTGATTCTGAGAGATACAATTTATATGCATTTGAAGAGGCAGCATGGTTTTGTGCGAGGGAAATCATGTCTCACAAACTACAATTGAGTTTTTCGAGGAAGTAACCAAGATTGATGAGGGCAGAGTGGTGGACATTGGGCAGTGTAGTAGAAAAGAGAGATCTAGGGGTTCAGGTACATAATTCTCTGAAGTCTGCATCACATAAAGACAAGGTGGTTTTAGCATGCTTGCCTTCATTGCTCAGACCTTTGAATAGAGGAGTTGGGACGTTATGTTGAGGTTGTACGGGGCATGGGTGAGGCTTCTTCTAGCGTTCTGTGTCCAGTTCTGGTCACCCTGTTATAGTAAGGATATTATTAAGTTGGACAGGGTTCTGATGAGATTTATGAAAATGTTGCCGGGAATGGAGTGGCTGGATAGTCTTTTCACTGGAGCGTAGGATATTGAGAGGTGACCTGAAAGAGGTTCATGAAATAATAAGGGGTATAGATAAGGTGAATGGCAGGTGTCTTTTCCCTAGGGTGGGGGATTTCAAGACTAGGGGCATAATTTTAAGGTCAGAGGACAAAGATTTAAAAAGACATGAGAGGCAATTTTTCTTACACAGAGAGTAATTTGTGTGTGGAGTGAACTTCCAGTTGAAGTGGTAGATGCGGCTGCAATTATAACGTTTAAAAGACACTTAGATAAGTACATGAATAGGAAATGTTTGGAGGAGTATGGGTAAGCGCAGGCAGGTGGGATTAGTTTAGTTTAGGATTATGGTCAGCCTGGACTGGTTGGACTGAAGGGTCTGTTTCCATGCTGTATGAGTCGATATGTTTCCTCAAATGAGGTCATACGGATAGAACTTAAAAAGAGGGAAATCACTTTGCTGGTATTGTACTATAGACCTTCTCACAGTCAGGAGAGTTAAAAAGATAGATATAGCAACAAATGTCCAAGACTGACTGAAGTGCATCTTCTCACCACTGCAGAGATAGCAAGAACTGCAGATGCTGGAGTCAGAGACAACACAGTGTGGAGCTGGAGGAACACAGCAGGTCAGGCAGCGTTAGAGGAGTGGGAAAGTTGAAAGAAGGGTCCTGACCCGAAACGTTGACTTTCCTACTCCTCTGATGCTGCCTGACTTGCTGTGTTCCTCCAGGTCCACACTGTATTGTTTCTTACCACTGTTCCTGTTTATCAGTGAAAGAAGCCAATATTCAAGGTAGTGGGTGGGGTGTGCCAATCAGATGAGCTGCTTGGTGCTGGGTGGTACCCATGCTTCTTGCATGTTTTTGGAGCTGCACTCATCCAGGCAAGCGGTTCCGGTTTTGTGCTTTGTAGATTGTTGATAGGCATTGGGGAAATCAAAATGTGATTTACTTGCTGCAGAATTCCTTGCCTCTGACCTGTTTTGGTACCGCCAGTATTTATACGACTGGTCCAGTTCAGCTGCTGGCTGAACATAACCCCAGTATATTGATAAAGGGGGGATTCAGCTCTTATTATGCCATTATACGCCAGGGGGATGGTTAGCTTCTCACTTGTTGAAGATGGTCATTGTCTGGCACTGGAGGCCTGGGTTCAAATTTCACCTGCTCCAGAGGTGAGAAAGAACACCTCTGAACAGACTGATTGGAAAATATCTACCCTGGGGAATTTCTGCAGAGATGTCCTGAAGTTGAGATGACTGGCCTCTAACAACCAAAACCATCTTTCTATGTGCCAGATATACTCAAAGCAGTGGCGAATTTTCCACTGATTCTTATTGATTCCAGTTTTGCTCAGGATCCTTAATGTCACATGTGGTTAAATGTAGCTTTGATGTCAATGGTAGTTAGAACAAAGAACAAAGAAAATTACAGCACAGGAACAGGCCCTTCGGCCCTCCAAGCCTGCGCTGATCCAGATCCTCTATCTAAACCTGTCACCTATTTTCCAAGGATTGGTATCCCTCTGCTCCCTGTTCATTCATGTATCTGTCTGGATACATCTTAAATGACGCTATCGTGCCCGCCTCTACCACCTCCGCTGGCAACGTGTTCCAGGCACCCACCACCCTCTGCGTAAAGAACTTTCCACGCATATTTCCCTTAAACTTTTCCCCTCTCACCTTGAAATCGTGACCCCTAGTAACTGAGTCCCCAACTCTGGGAAAAAGCTTCTTGCTATCCACCCTGTCTATACCTCTCATGATTTTATAGACCTCAATCAGGTCCCCCCTCAACCTCCGTTTTTCTAATGTAAATAATCCTAATCTACTCAACCTCTCTTCATAGCTAGTGCCCTCCATACCAAGCAACATCCTGATGAACCTCCTCTGCACCCTCTCCAAAGCATCCACATCCTTTTGGTAATGTGGTGACCAGAACTGTACGCAGTAGTCCAAATGTGGTCGAACCAAAGTCCTATACAACTGTAACATGACCTGCCGACTCTTGTACTCAATACCCCGTCTGATGAATGAAAGCATGCCATATGCCTTCTTGACCTCAGTTACTCTTACCTCACCTCTGGAAAATGCCAGTCTTTGGCCAATTCAATTTACTCTCAAGAAATGAGTGAAGGGATTGGAAACTGCAAATAATTCTGGCAAAAGTGTGTTCTCTTTCTGAGGCCTGGTAGGATTCACAGTTTCACTGCACATTTACCAGTTGCAGCAATATAAATGAGAACATTAAGCAGGAGCAGTCCCAGGATTCTGCCTGGAAGAATACTGCTGGCAGCAGCATTTAGGAGAGGGGAGCACGTCGGTAGTTTGCTGCTGACCGTTCATACTGACAGGGAATTTAGTGAAGCTACAGAATTCACCCACAGAAAGGAAACTGCGTGTGACCTGGCAAAAATTGCACAGTCTATTCTGGGACTGAGCAGAAAGGCCCGCGTCTCACTGTTTATCACAGAACCTATCTTGCAAATCTGTAACTCAGATTTCTGCTACAAACTGTCTGGCGAAAAAGATACAGAAATGGAGCAGAAAAGCAGATTAGCTTCGTCCAGAGAACAGGATTCAGTGAAACTGATTTTTCTCGATCTGGGACTTTACTGAAAGGGTTAAACTCTATTATTGGGTCAGATTGTTTTCCCATCTGTGAAATGGCCACAAGCTGGGGGATATGTTGCTGCCTACGCAGGATCACCTTTGCCAGGAGATTCCGAACATACCGCCAGCTCTGTCAGCGTCAGCTCTTGTGAGGGTGCTGGCAAAGTTGCACATTCACTTTTCCCACCTCCAAACCGCAGATGCACAGCAGCTTTGCCAGATGAGCAATCGCAGTGAGACAGAGCAGGCTCAGCGAGAATGGCTCCGGCCTGTATTTGGGGGCTGTACACCAGCTGGTTACTCTCCACTTCTTTTAGTTCACATGACATTAGCGCAGCCCCGATGGAATCGCCTCCCTGCCTCATTCAGAGTGAACTGCGCAGGTTCTCGGAAGCTCCCAAACGGCTTCCTCCGTCAAATGAGTGCATGTTAAACTGCACGGTGCTGACCTACATGAAGATCCTCCGGCAGCGGAAGAGAATGACCGTCCGTCTACACAATTCAGTGACAGGTAAACAAGGGAAGGGCACATCTCTCACACACAGACTAACACCCGCATAGACTGACAGACACAACAGATACAAACAGCGGCCAAACACCCTACAGTCAGAGACACTGACACCCACATGGATTCACACAAACGGACACTCCCACAGACACACACATATAGACTGATAGCCTCACAGATACTCACACAGACTGATATTCGCACATAACACACAAACTGGCACCTCCACAGTCACAGACAGACGCCCCTTGGAGATACACACAGATTGGCCCCTACATGGTTATTCTCACAGACTGCCATCCCCATAGATACACAGACTGACCTTCAGATGGACACACGCACAGACCAACACTCCCGCACAGACCAACACTCCCACACAGACATCCTACCACACGCACACAAAGCCACAATACATGCACACAGTCATATTACATACAAACTCACGGGGTCACAACACAGTCATAATAGACACGTACAGGGTCACAAAAGACGTTCATAATCACAAGTGCGCAATCTCCCCCTTCTATTTGAGGAGAGGGAATCAGAGAACAGCAAACTGTAGGTCATATAGCTTGATGTCTGTCAGAGGGAAGGTGTTGGAATTGATCATGGAGGAGGTTATAAGTGGGCACTGAGAAAATTTCAAGGCAGTCAGAAAGAGTCAGCATGATTTTGTGATAGGTAAACACATTTAATCAATTTATTGGAGTTGCACTTTGGATAATAAGAAGCCTATACTTAGACTTACAGAAGTCGTCTGACAAGGTGCCACATAAAAGATTATTGTGCAAAGTAGGAACTCATGGCGTAGGAAGTAACGAATTAGAATGGATCAAAAATTGGCTGGCAGGCAGAAAACAGAGTATGCATAAGCAGAGTAGGTCTTTTTTCTGACTGGCAGGATGCGATGATTTGAGTCCCACAAGGGTCTTTGCTAGCGCTCCGTTTCTTTATAATTTATAGAGGAGGGGAGTGGAGGCAATGGCAGCAAGATTTGCAGACGATACCAAGTAGGAAAGTTTGCTGTGAGGAGGACATAAGGAGGTTGCAGACTGGTACAGGTTAGGTTGAGTGAACGGGAAAAAAAATCTGGCAGTTGCAATGTGACATTGTTCATTTTGGCAAGAAGAATAAACAAGATGAGCATTAATTAACTGCATTACTGAGTTATGAAGAAAGGTTGCCAGACTGGGCTTGTTTCCAATAGAGTTTACAGGAGCAGGGGGATGATTTGATTGAAGTGTATTAGGTTTTGAACGGTGTGGCAAGGTGAACACGGAAAAGATGTTTTCTCTTGTGAAAGAGTCTAGAATGAGGGCACACTGTTTTAAAATTATGGGTTGCATTTCTAGGACAGTAATGAAGAGTTTTTTTTCCTCTCAGAGGGTTGTGCAACTTTGGCAGAGGCAGACTCATTGAATATTTTTAAGGAGGGGTGTAGATAAATTCTTGTGAGGCAGGGGCATCAATGGTATTGGGTGTGGGTGGAAATGTGGAATTCGGCACAGAAACACTTCAGCCATAGTCTTACTGAAGTGGATCCGGCTCAAAAGAATGAATAGACTACTTCGGCTTTCAATTTATATGTGCGTATGTAAATTACTTTAATTTTCATTTAGACTGAATTAATTAAATTGGCAAGGGCAGTCTAATCTTTTGTATAAATATTGTGGAGCAATGTCATGGAAATGAAGGATGAACATTTTTTAGTCTTGACAGGGAATTAACTAAAATATAAGAACAGATTGTAAGAGGTTCTGTATGTATGAAAGTAAATACTGGTCCCTTAAAAACCGTGAACTTATTGCAGGGAATGTGGAAATTGCAGAGACAATTATCAAATATTTGGATCTGCCCTTACAGTAGATAGCACATTTCATTCTAGAAATAATGTGGTGGGGCCAGTGTTGAACTGTGGTGGACAAGGTCAGAAAACACATGACACCAGGCTATAGTCCAACAGGTTTATTTGAAAACACAAACTTATGAGCGTAGCCCCTTCGTCAGGTGTCTAGAAACAGATAGTGACTTAGTAGTTAAAAAGTGTAAGGAAATAATGGAAATTAATATCAACAGAGAAAAAGTACTGCAGAAATGTAAGGGACTAAAATCTTACAAATCCCTCTATACCCTAGGGCAGTGTGTTCCAAACTTTTACCGGCTGTGACTGCAACAAGGCTTGAAAATTCCAGCAATCTATTAGTGGGAACAGCAAGGGCAAAGGAGACGATGGGGGTGGGGTGTGGTCAGCCTCTAAATTCATGACCCTTCTTAAGGTCCTGAACCCTAAATTGTGAAAACCTGCCCAAGGGTTCTTAAGACTGCAGAAATAAATAACACATTAGCTATAATTTTCCAAACTTACTTAGATTCAGGAATGGTACTATCAGACTAAAATTTGGAAAACGTTACACAGCTTTTCAAAAAAGGAGGGAGGGAGAAAATTGGGAACTACAGGCCAGTTAGCCTAACATCAATTGTTGGGAAATTCCTGTGCCCATGATTAAGGCAGTCTTAACAATAGATTTAGAAAATCATTGCGTGATTAGAACAAATTAACATGGTTTTACTGGATACGAGCTATGAGGAGAAGCTGGACAAGCTAGAGTTGTTTTCTCAGGAGCGGCAGCAGTTGAAGAGAGACGTGACATAAGTTTATAAAATTATGAGAGGCATAGATAGGGTTGATAATCAGAATATTTTTCCCGGAGTTGAAATGTCTAATACTAGAGGGCACGCATTTAAGGTAAGAGGGAGTAAGTTCCAAATTAATTTGGCGTCATGTTCCATGCAGCATCATGGGCCGAAGGGCTTGTTCCTCTGTTGCACTGTTCAATGTTCTAATGAAAATCTCTTGACAAATTTAATGGTAGTTTTCTAAGATGTAAATGGTAAGGTAGATATAGAATATGCACAATTTCCAAAAGATATTCAATATGGTGCTACACAAAAGATTAAGAGGCAAGATAGGGGCTCATGCAGTTGAAGTAAGATATTATCATGGATAGAAGATTAATTAAAGGACTGGAAGCATGAAGTGACCATAACAAAGCAATATTAGGTTGGCAGGCAGTGAATAGTGGAGTGCCACAAGGATCAGTGCTGGGGTACCAGCTTTTTATAATCTACATCAATGGTTGAGCCAGAGAGTTTCCATCAATGTGGAGCTAGAAAAGCACAGCAGGTC